AGTAGTTGCTAATTTATGCACTGATGATAGCTGTTAACACTAGTGCAGGACTAGGTAGCAGTCCTGGTTGGAAAACCCCTTCTAGTCCCGGTTTCCCAACCGGGACTATCAATCCGGGACTAAATGCCCGCCCTTTAGTCCTGGGTCTACTAACCGGGGGTTGATGGGGGCCATTTAGTCCCGTTGGTTATATCAACCAGGACTGAAGGGACCTCCAGGCCGAGCCCGAGGGCGGGCACCTCCGGTCCGGGTTGGTATAACCAACCGGGATTAAATATTACTCTTTTTGTTTTCTTTTTCTTTTTTTTTCTTTTGCAGTTTCTTTCCATTCAATTTGTTTTCGTTTCAAATAGTTTTCGTACACGTGTTATATGCTATACTATTGTACGTCATCCATAAATAAGAACGAAACTAACCAAGTAAGAGCTTATATATTACAATAATTTAAAACAAATCATTACAAACTAGATGTCCAACTTAAAATATTACATACTAGATGTCCAAGTACACCCCAAAGTTCATGCAAACATAAGTAGCTAGAAATGCCTTTGACTTTCTTGTATTCTCAACTCGGCGAAGTGTAGATCGCCGATGTGGTATCCACAAATGGTATTGTCGTAATTCATGGCATTAAATTAGTGCACTCTCCCTTACTTCAAAAATACGAGCATAGGGTCTACTAACGACGGTTAGCGGTGGCTGAGAAGTCGGTGGGTCAGATGATCTCCTCTTAGCCGCAAGCAGCTTTTCCTGAAATCCTGTCGTAGTGCGTGTTGGCCATTCATCAGCATATTTCCAATCATAACCCAATATATACATTGTTTGGTTTAGAATGGCTTTCAAAGCTACAACCTATGTAGGTTAAGTCATAGTCCTCGACCTGTAATTAAGTGTTGACAGAAAAAATAGATATGAGAACCAAGCTTTCCAATGACAACAAATCTGGATACAAGCTATGAGTTCGACTTCGACTTACCACATCATTCCGGTTGTTTTGAGCCATCCTTGCACAAAAGCCCGCAACATCATGATAAGATCCTGCATCCATAGCTTGTATCGACATGGAGGAATAAGTAGGCAGGGTGTACCCAATATTCGCAAGCTTATTTACACATGCTAGGACATCATATTTTTGTGCAACAGCCTTATCAGGTGCCTTTACTCCCACCTTCGAGATTTGCACAACACCTCTACCCCTCCTAGCAGCGATGGAAAAGCCAACTTGACATTGGATGAATCGACCATTATCTACCACAAAGCTCTTAACATCCACAACCTCAACCCCAAAATTCGAGAGTGTCTCTTTAAGCCAAATGATTGAGTCAATTACCTATGGTACATTTTAGAAAACATATATATACATATCAGAACAATATATTGTGTACAAGCGTAATTAAAATATATTGATTTATTGAAAACATATATCGTTGCTTACTGAAAGCTCTAATTTGGTTTTGGTGAATTGATGAAACCCTAAGTGCTAACCTAGTTTATCAAAATAATTATGAGATAGGTAACACTACTCCAAGTGATGAAGCAAATGAAGATCATGACATGATAATGGTGATAGCATGATGATGATCAAGTGCTTGGACTTGGAAAAGAAGTAAGAGAAAAACAAAAAGCTCAAGGCAAAGGTAAAATTGATAAGAGCTTTTCAGTTTAGTGATCAAGACACTTAGCGAGTGTGATCATATTTAGGATTGATAGTTGTAACTCATTGCATATGCATTTAGGATCTAGTGGAGTGCTAACACACTTGAAAACATTTGTGAAAATATGCTAACACATGTGCATAAGGTATACACTTGGTGGTGTTGGCACATTTGCAAAAGAAAAGAAGTTGGTGAAGAAAAGGAGATGAGAAGGTGTCACTGTGTGTGACCGGACGCTGGGCTCGGTAGGACCGGCACGTCCGGTCAGTGGCAGCAGATAGCGTGCGGTCTCGGTCAAGTGACCGGATGCTGGGCGAAGAAGTAACCGGACGCACTGTGGTCATGCCCGGTCAGGGTGACGTACGGTAACTTAGGCGGTGCTGAAGTTGGCGCGCGGGCGCAAAGCTGATCTGACGTTGGTCTGCGTCCGGTTGTGCAAGAGCGGGCGCATCCGGTCGCAAAACAAAGGCTCGGAGAGCTCTCTAGAAACGACCAGACTTAGGCGTTGCAGCATCCGGTCATCCTCGTTGTGCTGTGTCCGATCGTCGTGTGACCGTTAGCACGCGAAGTTACCGTTGAGATCGGGCGGCTCCGGTTGAACGTAGAGCGACACATGGACGGTGTAGCGCGACCGGACGCTGGCAGGGTGCGTTCGGTCGTCCCGCAGTCAGCCCAATAATTGAGTCAACGGCTCTATTGTTTGTGGGTGTCTATAAATATCGTTTGACCGACTCTAACTCACCCTCTTTGCCATTTGCATTGGCATAGCAACCTTGTGAGCTTAGCCAAAGCCCTCCCACTCATCTCCATCATTGATTCATCATCTTTGTGAGATTGTGAGTGAATCCAAGTGCATTGCTTGAGTGTTTGCATCTAGAAGCACTTGGTGTTCATGTTTTGCTACGGGATTCTCTTGTTACTTTTGGTGGTTGCCGCCATCTAGACGGCTTAAAGCAGCGAGGATCGTCGAGCGGAGGTTGGTGATTGTCTTCGGCTCCAATCATGGTGATTGTAAGGGGTTCTTGACCTTTCCCCGACAGAGAGCCAAAAGGTACTCTAGTAAATTGCTCGTGGCTTGTGTGATCCTTATCTTGTGTTGGTTGTGCGGCACCCTATTGAGGGTTTGGCGTGTGATGCCAATTAGCGCGTGAACCTCTAAGTGAGTGAATCGACACAACGAGGACTAGCTTATCGGCAAGCAAGTGAACCTCGGTAAAAAATTATTGTGTCATCATTTGATTCCGAGGTGATTAGTGTTCATTGATATTCATTCTTGTGATTGATTGGTTTATTCCTCAACTCGGTGGTATAACCATCTTACTCTCTCTCTTTATATTACCACAAACTAGTTGACAAGCTCTTTAGTGTAGCTAGTCGTAAGAGCCTGTTAGTTTGGTTAGTATGGCTCTTTAATTAGCCTTTGAAAGCACACTAACTTAGTGTAGTGACATAGCCATTGTGTGGATAAAGACTATATAAACTAGAATTGTGGTTGGTGGCTTGCATTTTTAGTAGGCTAGCGCAACACTCACTTTGCCTCATATTTCTAAACAGTTTGCTTAGTGTTGTTGTAGAAATTTTTTATAGGCTATTCACCCCCCTCTAGCCATTAGGACCTTTCACTTATTATGCTAGGATGATTGAACGGTACATTCGGCAACACTGGATCGAATCCACGAGTAATTGCATAGCGGACAATCGGTTCAGGGAGACGTCTAGCCATCTCTTGTCACTAAAATTAACATATCAAAATTCATATCACTGGAGTCAATATATGAATTCATACACCAAAATTCATATATCACTGATGTCAAAAATTTTCATATACTAAAATATCTTGCACTAAAGTCTATATATCAAAATTCACTTCTGTAAACCCTATATATCAAAATTCATATAACTGGACCCTATATATATACATAATGCATGCATATCATATATATACAATGTATAACACTAAAGTTAATATATCAAAATTCATATATATTACTAAAATCAATTTCTTTCATATACCAAAATACATATCACTGAAGTCTATATATCAAAATTCACATTTATAAACCCTATTTAACTGGACCTTATATATATATATATATATATATATATACCCCATATATATATATATATATATATATATATATATATTGAGTTATATATAATTACTATGTTAATTTATTTAGATTATAGTAACTCCTTCATAAGTAATTTATACTATAACGTTATAGTAAATATCCCCATGTGTTACTATAATAATGGTAACTATCCCCATAAATATGTATTGATATTATCGTAAATTAGTATATAAAATTATCGTAAATGGAGGTGGCTACAGAATAACTTATTTTGTAGCTGGCTACTGAATATATATATATATATATATATATATATATATATATATATATATAGAGAGAGAGAGAGAGAGAGAGAGAGAGACCAAATGCACAAATGCATTATAACTGCTATTCAGGATCCTGCGCTCTTTAGAGCGTTGCAGCTCCGCCCAGCTCCGACGACGACTATTCAATCCCGCGAGAGCAATTTCAGGCCAACCAATTGACCGTTAACTCAACATGCGAGGCCAACCAGGCCAACCAATTGACCGTTAACTCAATAGGCGAGGCCAACCAATTGACCGTTAACTCAACAGGCGATAATTATGACCAACTGTAGTAATAGTCAATACCGCAAGAGTAATTTCAGACCAACCAATTGACTGTTAACTCAACAGGCGATAATTATGACCAATTGTAGTAATAGTCAATACCGCAAGAGTAATTTCAAGCCAACCAATTGACCGTTAACTCAATAGGCGAAGTAATAGTCAATACCGCAAGAGTAATTTCAGGCCAACCAATTGACCGTTAACTCAACAGGCGATAATTATGACCAACTGTAGTAATAGTCAATACCGCAAGAGTAATTTCAGGCCAACCAATTGACCGTTAACTCAATAGGCGATAATTATGACCAACTGACACCTTCTAATCATATTAACCGTAAAAGTCGGACTCCAATATATAACCATCTAAGACTGTTTTGATCGGGAGACCCATTACGAAACCCAAATTTTAAATAGGTCTTCAACATAATACTTACCTATAGCCTTCAACAGAGTATATATATGAAAGATCCATTTTAGATGTCGAGAAAGGCATAACCCAAATCTGAGTATTCTCACTCATGAAGAACATTTGCAGAAAGGGTTGTCTTTTGAGTTTTGTTGTTGGAGAAGATCAAAAATAGGTAATGAACTATTTACATGTAGCGTTACCCAAAGGACGAATGCGTCTTGTATTTTGGGTCGTGATTATTAGAGACAGTCTAACCCTAATTTTTTCTCTCTCCTTATTCTCTCTCCTCCCATGCATCGACACAAACGGTGCTGGCGGCGGCTTCCCCACGGTTCTCCCCGGCGCCACCCTCCACACCCCAACCCACCGGCGTTCCCTCGTCCTCCCCACCGGCGGCGTCGATCTCGTCATCCCCACCGGCGGCGTCGACCTCGCCATCCCCACCGGCAGCGTCGACCCCGTCATCCCCACTGGCGGCGGCCCTGTCGGAGTACCTTTGCGCCCCCCTCCCCCATACCTTCGCCCGGCGGGGGGCGAGGCTGGCAGATCCTGGCGGCTGCGCCCCCCCTCCCCTCCCCTCCTCTCCCTCCGGTGATGGCGGCGGCAGGGGGACCTGCATCCGGCGGCACCGCGGCTCTCTCCGTGCACACGACAGCCACCGGCGGTGCCGCGGCCTCACCCGATCCGTGCGCACGGCGGCACTCGGTGGTGGGGCAACCCGATCCGCGCGCACGGCGGCCCTTAGTGATTGCGCAACCCTATCCGCGCGCAGGGCCGCTCCCTTGGCTATCCCAACCTTGCCCGCGGCAGCGCCCTCCCCAGGGGTGGATCTCCGACGGTTGGATCTGGGCGAATCTCCATGGCGACACCTCCCTTTCTCTCCGGCCATGGAGCTGCCCTCCCACTGATGGTGACTACCATGGGGGTCAATGCAAGGCGTCTGTACTTCATGGCTGAAGCTGCATGTCTCCACATCATCATCGATTAATTCGTCAGCAAAGTAGTGAGTCTCTTGTTAGTTTCAGAATTCGTCAGGTTTTAATTAGTTGAATTCCTTGCACATGCTCAAGGTGGTGCAGCTGTTCATAGTAATTATCTCTTAATTTGTTATCCAAAATTTTATCATGAAATCCACCTGGGTAAATTAGAAGGTGGCATGGGAATGTAACATTGTACCAGTCATTTAAGCTAGAGCTTTACTACTGACTAGTTGCCAGATTATAAGAAAATTACTTCTAGAGAAAGGAGCTATATTAGTACTACTGAGCATAGCAGTAATATTAGTAGTATTATAACTAGTGCTTCTGGTAGTTTTACTTTGCATATACTGCTATGACAAGAAAATGTTACTACCTGTATTTTCTTGCTGATTCGTTGTATTTTCTTGGTGACTGTTTATCTCTGACTGTTAATCTCTTTTTCCTATGAATGTTTTCAGGTTCAGGGGAAATTCCAAGTTTTGCTTCTATTAGTTTTTCCTTCAGCTTTGACAAATGGATGAATTTAGCCCAACCCAAACCCAGCTTATCGCCCTGTTCGCTTGGCTTATAAGCCATACTTTTTCAGTCAACGAACAATATTTTTCTCTCACAACAAATCAGCCAACAGTACTTTCAGCCATGGCCACAAGGTATGATTAGGAAGAGTAGTTGTCGTAAATGTGCCCTGCAATTACCTCCTAGATTATATACAGAAAGATAGCTGTAAAAATTGGTAGTAATAGATTTATGATTTGTTTACGAGTGGCAGACGCACACGCTTATTAAGTTAGTAGCACTTTTGGTGGTATATATATATATATATTTAACATAGTAGACTTACCTCTGACACGTTCTCGCATATTGAATACTATTTTGAATTAGTTGTATTAGTAGTGACCGAAAACTTCATAGGAAACATGGCATTACTAGTATTAGGAGTATTCAGACATGGCATTAGTAGTATTGATGGATTTGTCTTACCAGTATGACACATGGTGTTCGAGCTAATTACTTTGTATTAGTAGCATTTGTAGTATGGAGCCATGTTGATGCATGTACAGGTCTGTGAGGACCTAGTGTGGAGCAAACCCCTTGAGAGTAAATACCCATTGCGCAACCATAAAACCATCATTTTTTACTCCTAGATACCTCACAGTAGTCTATAACTGCCAGCTAGATTCTCCGGTTTATTCAGGTAGTAAGATTATCTAGTAATATTTTTGGATCCAAGTAGTAATATGTACTACTACACTGGAGGTGTCTGCCATAATAAAAATGCTGATTTTTAAATTAGATAGCTTTTTTTGTACAGAATGCGAAAGATTACTTTTATTGGTCACACTCAAGTGGTAAATATTTGACTTTTGCAACCAAAAGTTTGAAGTAAAATCACAAAAGCAAGTAGTAATTAAAATCACAGAATCATCATGAACATTGTACAATCAAACAAGATTTTATTCCAAAACAAGTAAGTAGTGCTCTAAATCAACAAAATACTACTTCCAATAAGGAAAATTATTACTATATGATTATTACCATGGTCTGAATTGTCAGGTTAGTCCTATGTGAATATCCAAGGTAAATTAGATCAATTCTTCTAGTGTATTTGCATTTTGATAGCTTTCCTCTTTTTTTTATATGACTAGTGCTCTGGATGAGAGCTACCAGCGCCCAGAATTGTCCGCTCTTCTCTTGTAGCAGTAATGATTATTATCAATTTTATTAACAAGCTGGGAAACACCAAAGTTGATCTTTATCTTTTGTTTTTCCAGATTCTGGAGCCATGTTGGTGATGCACGCAGTCTGTGAGGACTTAGTGTGGACAGAGTAGCTACAATGTCGCAGTTGCTACTTTATACTCCAAGAAAACAAGATGGTTGATTTTTGGCTCAGGCTACTTGCTGTATTGTTTTGTTATATTTGGGGTAATTTTCTCAGCTTTGGAAATGGAGAAAAAGAACTTCCAGTGTCTCCATTAGGAGGAGAAGAAGCTTCAGATCGGAATCTGATGTGCTTGTACGGCAGCCGCTGTGGTCTCCGTTTCATGGATCTGGCTGCTCGAAGGGGAAATCACTACGCTGTGGCAGACGTCGGTTGATGAATACATGGATGGATTTGATGCTACTCATCCTGTCATTTAAATCACTGCCAAGAGCAAGTGAATTTGTAATATGATTCTGTGCGGAAGTGATGTTTTGTAGTTACTACTAAAATTATGTGATCTGGTTTGTGTAATTACATTGCCAATATAGCTTGATTTGTGTAAACTGCTTGATTACGGCAAATTAGAGTGCAAAAGAATCTTACTACTAATAGGAGAACGTAATGGCCACTAATAATTCTGTAAATTACTACTTGAGAAAGAAGCTCTTACTACTAGTACGAGAACGTATAGAGACTAAATCCGTAAATTACTCCTTAATTCTTGGTAAATTATTTGATAAATAATCTTAAATGGCGATGTACTTGTCTGAATTTTGGGAAAGAAATAAATCACTTGCTTCCTTGATTATAGGCCTTTACGGCAGACACGCCAGACTTTGCGCCGGAAAACAAATTGCTTACGGTTGAGGAAACAAATTGCTTCTATTGTTTACGGTTGGGAATCTTGACTGAGTGCATGTTTCACGGAGAGCAGAGCGGTACAAGTTGCTGGTACGGAGACATCAGCGGTAATTCAAATCAAATAAAAATAAATTAACGAAAAAATAAATAACGTCGTTGTATTCATTTTTTCAATGCACGATTTACGGTTATACGGGAGGAATTAGTACCAGCAGAGTAAAGGAAATTTACGGTTGCGAGATTTAGGTATCTCGCGCAAGAGGAAGGAAATTACTACTAGTTCGAATGCATTCATCATTATTAGAAATAAACAGATCACTAATCACTAATTTCCTTTAATTGTAGATTCAAAAAAATCCTTTAATTGTAGGAGCTCACAGTTGTGGTAAACGCTTTAATTAATGTTAGACACATGCATGTGGTAAATAAAATATCACGTGATTATAGGAGAGAACATATATATGGTAACTGATGAAACGTGTATGGTAATATAAAAATACTACTAAATAAAATCACGTGATCATAGAAACAAACTGGTTTTGCGGTTGTGCGAGAGGATCTTTGCATGTGTCTACGGTTGCATGCCGCGGTGCTTTTGCAGAATGCACAGCTTTTACGGCTAATTTACATTTGCAGGTGCGAAAACGTGGTCAGCATGTCTGATGGTTTGGACGAGAGAGATTTACGGTCGTGTGCGAGATTTGCGGTTGCGGGATTTGGAGACCCGGCAACTTCCTTAATTATAGGCTTTAATTAGAGCGCGTGGCAGTAGACACATGCACATGCATGACCTCCAGTTGGTAACCGACAACGGTAGGATTAGTTACTATAAAATATTTGGTTCTACTTTATGAGGAAAAAAACCGTTCGAACTTTACGGTCGAGGAAAAATCGCCGGAAGGCGAGGGGCTTCGCGACGCCGGCGCGCTAAACAGTAGTATTTAGAGCGTAGCGCTCCAAATAGAGGAGTCAAATGCATATCATATTTACCCTACTAATACATCATCTTTTGTTTCCTACGTCCACACAAAAAAACGACCCACCGCTGAGATATCCCCTCTAAGTCCACCCCAAAAAGTATACCCAGAAAAACAACACATTTCAAACGATATCCAGATACACTCTAAGCCTTTTCTCTCTTTACTCGTTACACAATCGAGGACCTAGATCGAGGGTATCAAATCTTTTTCTTTTTCTTTTTGAAACGCAGCATGCCCGAGTGCCCGACTCCCAACGCGAAAGGGAAAAGGCGATCTGCTCTTGTCTCGCGAAGCCGCGCCGCATGCCCAGGCGGCGCCGGCTTCCCCCTGCTCGACGCAGGGAGCCTGCAGCCGGGGGCACTGCGCGTCTGCGCCGGCTGCGCTGGGGCCGGGCGCTGTCAGGCGGCAGCGGCGCCGCGGCGGCCGGCGGGCCGTAGACCGGCGGCGCGCGGCTGGGTGGACGGCAGCGAGGTCGACTCGTCCAAGTCCGCGCCGTCGTGATCGCTCGAGGAAGAGCGCTCGGCGGGGGCCGTGTCTTCCAACTTGGCGCCGCAGCGGCGTCTCGGGTGTCCTCCGGCGCAGGTGGCTCCGGCTGAACAGCTAGCGGCTACTCCTCCACTGCACCATCTTGCGTCTGTTACTCATCTGTTGCTAATCAATTGTTATGGATTGATTATTTAATCGTCATTGTGCCATTGTTTGCAGGTGCAGGCTGCAGGCTGCGATAAGTGAGGCAGCCGAGTGGTGTACAGCTAGAGATGCCGATTGCACATATAGGTATGTAATATTCACCCTTTTCTCGATTTGCCCCAGGGCCTCAAAATCTCTGGTAAGGTCCTGCTTATTGTATTTACTTTATTGATTCAAAAAGTTTGAAATAATTAAGTTCTTAGCTTGAATAGGTATCTGAAGTATACAAGGAAATGGAACTTGTTGGATGCACTCAAGATAGAAAAGCAAGAGATGTTGCATGATGAGTACGTAATTCTGGAACAAAGAGGATGTAAGTATTTGATTTCAGATGACTTGCTCCTTTAAGGATGAAAATACATTGGGTCAGTGATGATGTATGCAAAATACTTTGACAGGTATCTATTGAATTTTGAAACCCTGCTATTCTAATTGTTCCATTGTCAATGCTTGTAATTTGAGGAACCCCACCTCACTTTTTGCTTATACATGCATGATGCAGAGCAAACACAGTGCTGGATTTGATGCAAAAAGGAGCTCAAGGTAACATTTTGATTAGACCATGGAAGTCTGGCCAGAAACTTCTGTGGTTAACCATGCAACATGTAAATGTTGCTTTGCTATTTGCCCATGCCCATCACCATTCCATTTCAACTTTGAAGGCTTTTTTTTCC